AGCGACTATAGTACCAGCCGCCTCTATAATACCTGTTTGTAGGGGCGGTTCAGTCTAGAACCAGCCCTACAGTATATTTTTCCTCTAAAAAAATCAAATTTATAATTCATAGAGGGGTCCACGTGGCATACAATAATCACACCATTGTACATACAGAAAAACAACCAACAAACACATACACTATTGATGAACTAATACAATCACACCCATATACATACGCATCTAATAAGATCATTGGCCTCGTCTGTAGCCATCTTCAAGTTCTCCATCACTTCTACAAGCAAAAAGTGCAGCCTTGATTAGTTCTATTATAGCCCAGCATGTACAGAATAAATGTAAATGATATCGAGTACTGTTCGTCAGCGGTGCTCACCTGCTCGAACCCCTGCAGGCGGAGCTAGTCCAAACTCCGCTCCTGCTCGAAGCCATGCCGATGACGAGGAAGGCTCAGGCTGGCAGAAGAAGACGGGGTTAGCTCGTCCAGGGATGCTGTTGCGCGGTGAAGAGGAAGCAATCATGGTCGGTGAAGGTGAAGCTGACGCACGGCTACAGCACCCGACCGGCCGACCTGACGAGGACGGCGACGGATCCTGGCTCCTCGGGTACGGCTACAGCTCGGAGAGGACGGCGACGACACCGGAGTTGGAGAAGATGAACGGCAATGGCTTGGTCTACCGCTGCGACCGAGCTCCTCCTGGCAGCGCAGTCAACGACGGCGGCGGCGGCGAGCCACCGTTGCGACCGAGGTCCTCCCGGCAGCTACGGCGGTGAGGTTCAAACCCAGCAGAGCTTCGCCTGGTTTAGTGGCGTCGGCGTGGTTGGGCAAGAAACTGTGGGTGTCTTCTTAAAGGCCTCGTCACGCTCGGACGACATCAGAATTTTGGACGCGGGATTTGGAAGCTGAGCGCGCGCTCGTGCGGTAGCTGCATAGTGGGGCAAGTGCCGGATTGGCCAAATTGTGGACGGCGCCGCGGGATTTTCGAAACGGAGCACGCGCTCGAGCGGCAACTGGACCACCAGGGCCGGATTAAAGATATCCTGGGCGGCGCCTGCTATGGCTCCAGAATGTCGATATCCTCATCTAGAAGCATGTGAGGGAGATGGGCCCATTTGTGCTGTTGGCGCTGTGATGCGGGAGCATCCGAGGGAGCTATGGTTGTAGGATGTCGACATCTGCAGAAGGATGTATGCTCTGTTTGCTTGGCTGATAAGCTATGGCTGAAAATACTGTTGGCTGATTTATTGTGAAAGAAAAATATTGTTCGTTGGCTGAAAAAGTATGACCTATAAATCAAACAAACAGGACGGTAGTCGCTTGAGTTCCCGAGCCCTGCCACATGGGCCACCCCGTACCATATGGAAGAAGGGGGCTACAACCTTTTATACATGCAGTATTTGTAGGGGCGACTGATGATTAAGCCGCCCTTACAAATAACAACACCGGGGGCGGCTGATAAGTGAGCCGCCCCACAAATCGGTCCATTTGTAGGGGCAGCTCGTATCACTAGCCATCCTTATTGTGCCATTTGTAGGGGTGGCAGGTCTCGTAGGTCCCGAGTACGCCCACTATAAAGGTGCCTTCGTCCCCCGCCGCCCCTAAAAAAATTAAGTGGTTGCTACAGACCTTTTCTGTAGCAGTGACGAACACACAGGTCCTCCTATACACAACCCGCTAAAACCGAAAGCTTCCTTTCTATTCGGCCAATCACATGCATGCAAGGGCAGCATGTTTCCAAACTTGTTTGGGACTCTACTTCTTTGTCCTTTAATCGCATACTCCTATGTATATAGCAATGAATAATCACCAGCCAGCTCATATGAGTCCATTACCTTCACGCACGTCTTGAGTTATTGTTCTCTGCTGCCTTTTCCTTCCTCGTCCTAAAGCGCGTGAACAAGTGAATATGATCTTTCTTCTGGTACGTACGGCAGCTGGACTTCCTGATCCTGCTCCTACATAGATTGTATATGCAAACTTAGCTCTGAGAATACCTCAGACAACAGTGATACGACTTGCTGGAGAGGCCAAACAAAACATCAAATATGTCCGTGATCCACAGAAACAAGATCCTTTTTTCTTCTGCCTGCATGTACAATGGATTTCCTTGCTTGACCTGTGCTACAAAAACTTCACAAATAGATAGTCTGGTATCCGATTGCAGACCATTGAGATCATTGTCCTTAATCATTGGGTGCTCTGCTTAGCTTTTCTTCACAGCGCGCAAAGCCCCTATTCCAAACTTCATCCAAACGATTTCCGTGTAACACCTTGATACCCCAAACAGCTGCTAACGGGAGGCTCTGAATCCTTCTCTAGAAACCTCAAACAATGATTGTCGCCAAGAACGGCTTGATATGTCTAGCCAGATAAAATTCTTAACAAATATAATTATACCTAAATATATCTAGATACACTCAGCCAAACAAGACGATTGAAATATATATATATACACTCGGCCAACCAAGGCAGAGTGAACAACATGACGTTGGCACATCGCTAGTATCACGGGCCGGGAGGGAGCAGTGTAGCGAAAACGCAGCGTCACATGCACGTGTGATCACCGGCTCTATCTCAGCCGTTACTGGATAGGTGGGTCCCACTTCCTTTTAGAATTTAATCGTTTCATCTCCCAACGCCCGGCCTATCTCATCTCCCTCGGGGTCGGGCGCTCGGACGGCGTGGCGGCTGCGCCTCGTCTTCACCGGTGCCGTGTCCTCCGCCGGCGCTGGATCCCACGCCATTGGAGCCCGCGGCGTCGGATCCCGCGCCGTCAGAGCTCATGTCGTCCGCGCCCCCCGCATCACCGGAGCTCGCGTCGCCCGCTCCGCCAGAGTTCTTTTCTTCTCCATCTTCGGCGGGGTTAGAAAGGGGTCGGGGGAGGCTGGCCGGCCAGACGGTGGGGATGGTCGTGGGGCGGCTTTTGGGTTCTCGCGGCATAGGGGGCTGTCGGGCCAGGCCAGGGCGGGGGCGTCCATGGCCGGAGCATGCCGTGGAGGAAGGATGCGGCGGGGGCGGCGGAGTTCGGGCATGGCGACGGTGGAGGACGAGGCGGGTGGCAGCGGCGGTAGGGGCGAGGGCGAGGACGATGCCGACGCCGCAGAGGCCAAGGTCGGGGGTGCCGAAGCCGGGCACGACGCCGGTGGAGGACGAGGCGTAGACAAGCAGCACCGTGCGAGTGCGGGGGCAGAAATAATACATCACACGTATCATATAACGCAAATAAGAATGAACGGGACAGTATATACAGATCTACTAACGAACATGCCAATCACCGCTCCTATGGACGGATTCATAGCACATATAACCGAATATACCAAGCGAAGGTTAAGGTTATACCCTTGGCCCAAACCACCAGTGCCGGAGGCAACTGGTGGGGCGTTAAGTTCAGACACGCTGACCTGCTCGAAGTACTCCCTCCGTTTTAAAAAAGAAGAACGCTATGTGATGCGTGTAAGTCAAAAATTCTCAATTTTAATTAGGTTTGTAGAAAATACGTGTAATATTTATACCTCTAAATAAGTTTATTATAAAAATATATTCAATAATTTATCTAATGATACTAATTATGTATTATAAATATTAATATTCTTTTATATATCAAAGTTAAAGAAAAGTTGACTTCTCGAGATCAAGAATGACATATATTTTAGTACAGAAGTCCATCTAGGCTCACCAGGCATTATCACTTCCAGCGCGCCCCCGCATCTGCAGGGCCAGACGCGCCGTTGCGCCCTTCTGCGACAAGGGTTGGGGACGGATTTGGCGATCAGGCGAAGTCGTTGCCCTTTCACTTCTGGAGCCACGGCCTTGCTCTCATAAACGCCGCCGCGCCCTTGGGCTCCACCAGCGCCGCCGCCCTCGACTCATCTCCGATGAGCGCAGACGCCGTCGTCTCACCAGACGACGACCTCACCCTCTCTCTTCATTGATTATGGATACTGTCAAGAATCTACAGAAAAGTTTCTAGCTGTCCCCAATGTCCCAAAAAAAAATTCTATAGGATGTGAACATACCAAAACCACTGGCCATATCACCGAACCGACGAACGAGGCACACGCGCCTTTGGGCTCATTCGCGTGTCCTTAAACCCGGCTTGATCCGCTTCTTTTTTCATCCGGAACAGTGTTTTTCTCTCACAAATTTCTCCAGCATTCCTCCAAACCATCCAAATTCCTCCAAGCGAACAGGCCCTTTCCGACATGGAGATTGGTAACAAAGGCAGCGGTGACGGAGAGATGTTATACTTGTCTCCAAAAGCTCCGCTTGTATTAGCGTTTTCTCACTAATTTCTCTCTAGCTAGCTATGCAGAGGCCGGCAAATGGTATCTCTCTCATAGTCATAGCTATCTCTCAAAGAAAAAAGAAAACAATTAAAAGTAGTGGCCACCATCAGCATATATGTCTCCTCTAGCTTAGCTACGACCAGTGGTTTGTTAGTTTCTCGTCTTTTATCTTCTCCATCCAAGTGACATTATCAATAACATAATTTCATTGATTAATTTCAAAGGAAAATTCTTTATTTTTTCCTCTTCGATGAGACGAGGCTACTACTACCTTGATGAGGACCAGGTTACAACTTTCTCGGCCGGTCGGCCCAATCTGCTTTGTTGGTTAACGGGCCTAATCGATACGTGGGCTCAATAGCTGGGCCACATCAAAGCCCTGGTGGGTCTGCTTCTTACCCATCCAAAATCCCAGCCCATTACTCGTGCAAACTGAACAAAGTACTTCCTCCGTTCCAAAATCCCGGTTGGCCCGATCTGCTTTGTTGGTTCACGGGCCTAATCAGTACATGGGCTCAAACACAGTTGGGCTACCTCACGGCCCTGGTGGTCTGCTTCTATCCCGTCCAAAATCCCAGCCATTCATGCAAACTCAACAAACTAGTACCTCCGATCAGCACTAGATTCGTATTATTTGATTTGATTTGCATACCAAAACTCAAGCTGATGTGAGAAAAGTTGATAATTCTCTTATACATTAACATGATGAGCCATTATTACTCATGATCGTCCGGGAAGTCGACCATCTGCTCGACCAAGGCCTGGCCGAGGTTTGCGCGGTTGGCGACATCGACGGCGTCGTTCCACAGCGCACGCTTCAGCGCGCCGTCCTCGTACGACACCCGCTGCCAGCAGTCGCCCGCCGCGTCCATCACCCGGCCGGCGCACTCCAGGTAGTCGAACGGCGCCTGGAAGTCGCGGGGGCTGTACTCCTCGACGACGGCGCGGCACGCCGGGAGGACCACTGCCACGGTCCCGTAGTCCATCAAGCAGTACCGGAGCGAGTACTCCGTGTCCCTGTCCTTGCTCCCCCTGCCGCCGGACGACCGGAGCGCGCTGCGCGCCTTGGCGCTGGCGCTCGCGGCGGCGGTGCTGGCCAGGTCCATGGCCACCAGCGCCAGCTCCCGCGTGTCGTTCGCCGCCGCGCTCCGGTTGTCCGACCGCAGCGTCGTCTCGCAGAACTCCTTGGTCAGAGCCGTCAGCCCGAGCCCGCGGTAGTGGTGCGCCTCGTGCCCCTTCGCCTTCTCGCACGCCGTCGCCACCAGGTCGCCGTCGTCGTGCCGTTGTTGGTCATGGCAGACACCGGCGGCGTCGGTGGTGAGGCAGGGTGCCGCCGCCGCGCAGATGCCGAGGAGCACCACGGCGAGCGTGGTGGTGAGGAACGCCATGGCCATCGATCGAGCTGCCATTGTATAGCTAGTAGCTTGGATCAATTGGTGAGTGCAGATTTATTTATAGGGCTAGCTAAGCTTTGAGAACTAGTAATAGCTAGCACAAGTAATACTAGTAGTAGTGCGTATTAATTAATTACTTAATAATTAATTAGTGTGAAACATGTAATAAACATGGTGACGGTTCATCGGTATATCCAAACAGGAGGCCGATTCACGCGCATTAGTGTCAAATGTTGGATTAAAAAATAATTGCTACTCCACCCATTCAAAATTATAGGTTCATTTAAACTTTTCTAACTTTTAACAAGACTATATAAAATTGCACCAGACATCTATGGCATCAAATTAGTTCCATTAATTTAGCCATAAAATATGTTTTGATAATGGTGTATTGGTACCTGGTATTGTAGATATTAAACTATTTTAAAAAAAACAAGTAAAAATCTGAGAAAATTGATTTGAACAAAACTGAAGTGACGGATAGTTTGGAACACTAGGAGTAAATAATGACAGGCAGAAGTGCAACCATGATGCTAATTGGGCTGAAAATAAATAATTAACGGTAATGCTACAAACAAGACGTGCATGTTTATTCTCATCCACTCATTGCTTTCTTATCTGCTTCCACTACGTTAACGTTCTTCTCTGCTCTGTTTCTCCCAAGCAACATAGCCAGATCCTTAGGCCTAGCTGCTCGTGAAGACGAGGAGATACCTAGAGGTGGTTCGCATATGCCTAGAGATGTCCCTTGTGGTAGAAGGCGTATGCGAGACGGAAACGTGCCACCCGCGCCACGCCCACCCGCCCTCCACGTCACCACCGCCAGTGCAGCCCCAACCCGGCCATCGGTGCTACGCCGCCCAGCTCCGCATTGCCGGCGAGCTCCACGCCGTTGGCTAGCACATCAGTGGCCTCCATGCGCCAACCACCCGCCGTTTGCGCACAACGCGCGCTCGTGCTGCCCCCACACCCGCCTTCTGTGCACCGCCGCCCAACTCCTTGTTGTTGGCGAGCTCCGCGCCGCCGCCGAGCACACCAGTGACCTCCATGCGTCGACAAGCCTCCATTTTGTGAAGCAGCAAGGAGATGTTTGCGCTAAAAGAGCATGTTGCAAACGTATGTTTTGAGTGTTTCAGGTGTTTCACAGGTATATTACAAGTGTTTTATATCGATCTTGCAAAAGTAGATTGTGATGTTGTATATGTTGCAATGGTTGTACACGTATGTTGCAAAGGTCTGTTACCAATGTTTCATCTGTGTTAACGGACGTATGTTGCAAATGTTTTTATTTGGATGTTGCATATATTTCACACATATGTTGCATATGTTTTATTTGGATGTTGCGTATGTTTGCAAAGGTTTTCAAGTGTTTTCAGGTGTTTTTTTTTCAAGTGTTTCAGAAGCATGTTGCAAGTGTGTGTTTCAAATATTTTAGTTGTTTTTCAGACATATGTTGCAAGTGTTTTATCTAAATATTGAATATGTTGCAGTGGCTACATATATATTGCAAACATATGTTCTAAATATTTTAACTGTTTTAGACGTACGCTGCATCAAGTCCTACATGTTGCAAGTGTTTCATAAGGCGCAAGCGGTCTCCACGAGGCGAAGCGAAGCGAGGGGGTGCTAGAGGCGAAAGGCAGGCAGCGCGCGTAGCATGGCATGGCGGGCGAAGCAACATGAGAGGGCTTAGCAGCGGCAGCCATGAGCAGCATGGCGGGCATGCATGCTCCGATGTGCGTCTGTCAGTGGGGCAACCAGAGGGAGCACATGGGAGACAACCACTGACGTGGGACCCGTCGAGAGGTAGGGGCGCTGGGCGTTGCCGTTTTCATCAATCCGTTTTGGCGCTGAAGCGGGCCCACCGACATCGAGGGTGCGCTCTGCTGGCTGTTTGGACGACGTGCGTCCGCGAGTGTGCAAGGGCGAAGTCGCGCGCGTGGGCGCGCCACGGCGAGCATGCGCTGGGCTGAGTGGCGGGTGCGTTGCGGGTGTCCGGATGCGCGCTTCTGTATGGACATCCGAGCGCCAGTAAGCCCCGATAAAAGTCCCAGGCCGGCCATCAACAGCTTCAGAGAAGAAAGCCATTAGCCATATGAACGAGCCCTCACAAGCGTAGCTCAGATGCAGCAAAGCAAATTGAATGATCTGCACATATTTCTTTGTTTTTCGAAAGCGTGTATTGGCACGTGCTTCATTAATAAGGAGAAATAAGATTCGTACCACGCCCGGGACTGCAACACGGTGAGATACCGTTAGCTATCAAGAAAGACACAGACACAGTGCACCGGCTACCAGGAGCTGTAAAGGCGCACTTAGGAAACCAGTGTTGCGACTAGAGAAGCTTGCCGGTAGCGCCTGCTAGGAACCCTGGGCGGCCAGCGACGCGAGACTCCCAAGTCCCAAAGCCGGCGGCAATCCAGGAGTCCGCGTCCATGATCTGCACATATCACATCCATCTCCTGCACTTAAAATTACAGATACAAGCTGTGTTGCAAGTGCACCTGGACAGGCCATTCTCTGTTTCTTTTCAACTAGTTTCTAACACACACAGAGACACTCTGCCAATGGCAAATTGGCAATGGATGGATCACAACAAACTCGACAGACTGAATCTACACAACACGCACACTCAGATATGCACACACTTCAACCACACACAGCAAGTGTTTTCTGAATCCTTTTTGGACGTATGTTGTTGCTTCAGCCTTGAGGACTGAGCAAGGATGTACACACACCACTATGTACCACACAAGCATTCAGTCCTACCATCTCATCACTTAGCTTCTCGCCTCCTGCGTCCCAAAGCAGCCTGATAACAGTCAATCAGAAGACATTCATCATGAGTTTAGTTTGTGCCAAGGTCGATGCCAAATACTCGACGACGAATTGAATTAGTGATGTTGGTGTCATCAATCTCAAAACTTACCACAGAGCAGGTCGACGAAACGCTTCAGTGGATTGCTCTGTACTCTGCTGCTCACACTGCTACCTTGGTTTGCCTAGTGAGACGAAAAATACAGGATAAGGCAGCATATAGATATAGTATCATCGATCCAAGAGGATGCACCACAAGGAAGAACATCATCATTTAGCCATGCCTGCCATGTTTCCTGAACTTAGCAATTGGAAGAGAGCATGAATATGAGTGCACCTGAGTGTTCAGTTGAGCGAATATGGCCTTCACATCTTCAAAAACTGCATCAGGGGATTTGGCGCCATCGACCTGCATAGAGTACAAAGGGATATGTGAAACATGCATGGAAAATTTAATTCAGTGAGATTAGGTTAGTTAAAGTTCATATTTACTCTACAAAATTGCAAATTTTGGCACAGTGCACGTTTTCATATAAAAAACCAGAGCACTCCCCCAATGCAAGTTACCTTTCGAAGCTTTCCCCTTTTCTCATAGTACTGAACAACAGGTAGAGTTGACTCCTGGAAAACTTCGAACCGTTTCCTAATAGTGTCGATGTTGTCGTCATCTCTTCCCTGTATGTAGACAACCCAAAAGAAAACAAAGCAATGAATTAAGCAAATGAGACAAAAGTTACAAGCTTGTGCTGAGAAATCACAAGAGCGAAACCTGATTACGGTGTAGAATGCGCCGCTCCAACTCTTCCTTTGGGCAGTCGATGAACAGAACGAACTCGGGCTCAATGCCAATCTGGTAACAACAAGACATGACAAAATTATAGCGCTATTTCTACCATGATGAAATCATACATATGACTGATGCGCAATTCTCCTTTTATTAGAATCAAAATAAATATATGCCGATAGGTAGTTCAGAGTCAGACATCAGGAAAAAAAAAACAGGCTTACAACACTCTCATATGCTTGGCGGTTCTCTGCGTTTCGAGGAAATCCATCGACAAGGAACTTATCATTTCCACTCTGAAGCATGGCCTTCAGCAGAAGCTTGACGATGAGCTCGGACGGCACAAGTTTTCCTTCATGCATCAGATTCTTTACCATCGTACTGAGAGAAGAAAAAAAATTGGACATGTTTGAATGGTGCCCACAACATATATACTCCTATGTGCATGTTAGAGGCTGGGACTTTGTTCCATTATCTAAAAAAATTGTTATGGTCGGCAACGTCTACCAGTGTCACGCCAAGAGAAGTGGCTGAGCGGTGGACCGTGGCGAGGAGCGCCAGAGCATGGTCACCAGCTACGGCGCGCCAACCGCATCGCCCAGGAGTTTGCATCATCGTTCTGTGATCCGGCCATTTAGGAACATTAGTTTCCTTGGTTTGTTATCCCTTAAAGGTAGCTCCTCAGTTGTTAGGATTGTGGTATAAATATGGAACAGTTTGATTAATGAAAGTTAGCCAGAGATTTAGAGTTAATTCTCTCTCACTCCTTGGCGCTACTGCTCTCGCATTCTCTCGTTTCTCAGCCCTAACTCTCGGCGCCGAGCACAGCGCCACCGCCTCGCCGTCGGGCATTCAAGCCACATCCGCCCACATCGCACTCAAACCCTCTACGCAACAGGTTAGGCTCCAACAGTCTGGTATCAGCCATGTCCGGTTCTGGAGCCGCCACCGCCGCTGCCGTTCCCACCACCACCACCACCTCCGCCATTCCACCCATGATGTCATCCGTTCCCATAGTCACCAGCTCCGCCATCGTCACCACCGCGCCGGTCACCCTTCCGCAGCCGCCACTCACCATGATTCCTAACAATGCCCTCAACGCGCTGACCACGGCCATCTACGACCTGCAGCGCTAGATGGGCGGCATCTCCATGCGCATGGCGGCCATCGAAGGTCGTCCATCGGCGCCCGCGCCACCCTTCCTGCCGTACGTCCTGCCTGGCTACGGGGGCATCCCGCAACTCCCGACCATAGGCCCAGTCATTTCAGAGCTCTCCTCCGCGCCACCGCTGATGTCTTCCCAACCGGCGTCCGTTCTAGCCATGCCAGCCTCCATGCCCGTGTCCACCCAGCCAGGGTCGCCATCTATGGGCGTTCCCATCACCCACGTCAGCTTTCC